TAGGTTTAAGGCTGTATATTGTATTTTAAAATCAGTTGGTTATAGGGATAATGCGTCTTTAGCAGCGCGATCCGCTTTTTTTCATTACCGTATGTACCGATATGGGTAAGTAGACAACATAATACCGTATTGTGAGACGTCGTACTCAATTCGGTACGTTCAATGAGACTATTGTACCTTAATAAGGTTTTCAATTTCCTATAGTATTGTGACGGAAATATTGATATCAAGTCGGTGAAGATGATAGAGATTAAAATATGTTTGCTTTTGATATATTTTAAGGAAAGGTCTGCAGCCATGATTTTGGATGACATGTCGATAAACCATCTGGCAAGCGACATTTTGTAGTGTGATTTTCACTAATGAAGGATGTAGTAGCCTTTCCCCCATCCTTTGATCTTTCAGTGTATATCCTTGTGTAGTTCTTAAATTATATGAGGAGTTTCTTATAAGAGTTATCAAAGATTGCTTACAATTTGAGTAGCGTCAAATTTACCGTTAGTTCTTCAAGTAGCCATGGATGTATTTCTTAGACGAAATGTTCTGGATTTTAGAAAGGTCAATGTTTCTTTTGCGAGGGCTGGAAGGTATTATAATGACAAAATGTAGGTATGGCATTTGATTTAATTCGACATATTGTTTTCTATTTGGGTTTGAATCCAGTTGTAAAAGCACGGTTTTAAGGGTCCGATCTTAATTGTAATATCAGCATTTCTCTAGATATGATAGAGGTGGATACATTTGCTTCAGCCAACAGGCTTCTACTTGTATATGTCCTAAATGCTGTCAGAGCGAGTCCTATTCCTTTGTGGTTACTTGGATCAAATGTGTTTAACTACGACTTACTGGATTAACCATCAACAACAGTATCGCAGCCTGCTTTGTATCGAAAAAAGGTTGTATTTAAATCGAGGATGGTTTTCGATCAGCACTCCAGTCAATGTGCAGTACTACTTTAAATAAATCTATATATTTCAATCAATGAGATTTCAAGTTCTTTACGTGTGGAATATAAATGAGTGTGTTGTCGAATAAAATACCTAAACACTTTGTTTCTTCGACCACTGGTATTGGTGTTCCATCAAGCGTGAGTTTAGGTTCATCATGATGTCTTTGTAACTGACAAAAATCCAAACATATTTTTTTTATTTAGAGAATTTTAAACTATTTGCAATGGCCAACTCTAATAACGATTTACACAACGACCATGTTTGTTTGTTTTATTGGTAGATATGCATTGGAGTGATTGACATATTAATGCAAACTCCAGTACTAGAATTGTAAACGCAGTATTCTTTGTATTTAACAAAATAGTTTGTCAATAAAATTGGTTTTGTTTTAATTCTACTAATTATAAACGTTAAAGCTCTGCTTTCATTGTATTCGTATCATATTCCTTTTCCTCCTGCCCTCACGTTACTTAAAAAACGAAGACAGACGTTACCTAGTATACCTGTATTTCACCTGCATTACTGTGGAGTGGTCTAGTTTCTTGCATCAGCTCTTATTTGATCCAGATTTCCGAAAATGTTCTGAACCTGGGACTACAAGAGTTTAAAACATTTGTCAAACCATTTTATGAACAGAACAAAATGAAACATGTGCCAATTGAAAGGTTTAGAGGCAATATTTTTACTATTTTGTTTAATATAATGTAGCCAATGTATTATTTCATATTCTTGCTTTGAAATTTTCATGCATTCAAATTTGTGTTTTACCTAATGCACCACAAAGTCAAAATGTGGCAAACATCTTTTTCGTGACGAAACTTTGAAAATTCTTAAGATATTGAAACATTTATATATTTTGAAAAGGATTGATGATTTCGACTTCTCAGAACGTAAAATTGCCAAAACACGCACCGTTGATACGTGTTTTAAGCATTATTAATTGGTGTTCATTGATGGATACTCTTAATGATCTTTGTAATGATCTTCTCTGATGCAGCAAGACCGAACCCACAGGTCTGATAAGATGTTATGAAAAGCGGTCACATTTTCAATACAGCTGCCGTACTGTTTGCATTAGGAAACTAAAATAGGACAGGTGAACAGTGTTGGGAATACCCAAAGCACAATCAGTCTTGACTTCTCCTGTGCTACATTGCTATACTTCGTTCCATAGAGCATCGCGAATTTTTCCTGTCTTTATCCCAGCAAATGTTCAAGTCAGAGTTATTAAATAATGCGAAAACTACCTAATTGGTTTTAAATATTTCGAGTAAAACGAATTATGTAATTTAGCTAAATTTTAATGACGCATACCTGCAAATTTACTGAGTTACAGATACAATAAAATTCGCAATGCTGTGTGGAACAAACCATAGGTAACTGAACCCATGAGCCTTCTATATATTTACCAATCTCATAATTGCATTTGTTAGGAGCCCATGTGGTGGTTGGTGTACATATTAAATTAACAAACTTTACATGATTATTGATCTAATAGAATTATTATTTCAAAATTGTGTATTCAATAAAATGGCAATCTGAAGGATGTCCCCTACAAAGGAAGAGCAAAATAGTCATTATTTTGTACTATAAATTAATGTAACCGTACATTTTATCCAAGATAATTCATTCTCTCTCCTGCCAATTGAACAAATGCTAGCAAAAACTGCATATAAAAAGAAATTATAGGTAGGTGCAAGACCAGATTGAAGCGGAGTGGGCATAGTGCCTGTATTCTGCTCCCCAACATGTCATGAGTGGGGTGCCCGCTGGTTACCTTGGATACAACTTAACGTGTTTAAATAAACTATTTAGAACTTTAGTCTGTCTAATTTAAGCTTGACATATGCATAAGAATAAAACATATAAAAGTGACAGTTTGAAACAATGGCTTTCAGAGTGTATATTTAAATCTATAACACAACCTCCTATCATAATTGGCCAAGCCAACCATCAACGGAATCCGCCTAAGGGTAGGTGAATGAATAATGAAAAAATGATCATATTTGCTATATATGCATGTATGTATGTATGTATGTATGTATGTATGTATGTATGTATGTATGTATGTATGTATGTATGTATGTATGTATGTATGTATGTATGTATGTATGTATGTATGTATGTATGTATGCATGCATGCATGCATGCATGCATGTATGTATGTATGTATGTGTGCGCGCGTGCGTCTGTCTGTCTGTCTGTCTGTCTGTCTGTCTGTCTGTATGTATGTATGTATGTATGTATGTATGTATGTATGTATGTATGTATGTATGTATGTATGTATGTATGTATGTATGTATGTATGTATGTATGTATGTATGTATGTATGTATGTATGTATGTATGTATGTATGTGTCTATCTGTCTGTCTGTCTGTCTGTCTGTCTGTCTGTCTGTCTGTCTGTATGTATGTATGTATGTATGTATGTATGTATGTATGTATGTATGTATGTATGTATGTATGTATGTATGTATGTATGTATGTATGTATGTATGTATGTATGTGTCTGTCTGTCTGTCTGTCTCTATGTATGTATGTATGTATGTATGTATGTATGTATGTATGTATGTATGTATGTATGTATGTATGTATGTATGTATGTATGTATGTATGTATGTATGTATGTATGCATGTATGTATGTATGCATGCATGCATGCATGTACGAATACACTCATGTATATATGCATACATGCATGCGTGTACGAATACACTCATGTATAAAAGCATACAGTGCTTTACGACACGTAAACACAAAAGTGATAATGTCTCGCCAACATCAGACGGAGCTCGAAAACTACAAATAAGTATTGGATTAGTGAAGTTAAAATTTTCCGGCAAATATATAATACACAAACAAACTATAAAATAAAACGTATAAAAAGTTATTTTAATAGATACTAATTTTATTTTATAATTATCGTGTGGATGCTCATTTAGAATCTTAACTGAATTAAGCTGCCTGGTTTCAGTGGCTTTGGACTCGGGCACTTTTGCTACTTCTATTGTTGGACTAAGCCAACTAGAAATAATACTTCTATCAGATTCATACTTGTGAAAGTGTTATAAATTTAATGTTCTCTTTCGTGTTAATCGTTTTTTATGTATTTCTCTTGCGTAATTTTGTGTTCGACAAGGATCTAGAGAGAGTGAAAAGCGCTTAATGTAGTGAAAGAAACAACAAGATTAATAATTTCTTTACTCTTTTCGTTGTCAATTTTGTAAGGCTATCTTAAAAACTTCCTTTCCTGTCCTTGAAGCATAGATAGTTGAATGGAGTGTTAGTCCCCTCGTGCATTGCCAGTAACACAATATTTCACTGAATAACCGTCAAAATCGGCAGTTAGGAAAAAGAACCAACGAAAGCATTAGCAGTTAAATTGTTTTGAAAGAATTTAACCGTTTCCACAAAATATCGGAATAATTTCATAAAGGTTATGGTAATTTCATCATATTACATATGTTTTATTTGGTTTAAAAATTCCTTTATTTTATACTCTGAATGAGCATATTCCGTCGACATTTGTTATACAAATAACTTCAAAAAATAAATGAATATATTGCTGTTTAACATGTTGAATTCTATTTTTTCTTTAATTTTGACAGTGTCTTATTTTAAAGGTGTCCAGATTTGGCTAAGAAAAACAAATAAAAATTAGTGTATTATTCATTCCCTCTAAAAATAAATTTTAGACGAATATAACAAACGTGTTTTGTATAGCGCATAAATGTGTTAAGCTATCGTCTTGCGAAAGAATTCCAAAACAGCTTACCTTGCTTATTTCTTGGTGACTATTTGTGACGTGGTGCGTGTGTGTGATTTGGATTTTTGACGTAGCTTTAAATAATTTTCAGTCGTATCGCTACGATATCTTCAGTGTGGCAGTTTAAAGTGATGTCTAGCATTGGCGCATAATGCCGCAAATATATAGCATCATATCCCACCCAGTCACATCATCCTGACACCAGGATGACCAGTCCTAACACTAACCTCCTAATGCTGAGTGCCAAGTGAAGCAGATGTTAGCAGCATTTGTATGTGTGTGTTATGACTCGGCCGAGGTTCGAACCAACGACCGCCTGCATCCCAGGCGGACGCTCTAACCACTAGGCCACCGGAGAGATTTGTAGATGTGGTGACTTTGCAAACAATATCCACAATAATAAACCTACAATGTATTGTGATGATTGTGGATTTTTATGTCAATTGAATTTTATTGCTTAGGTTCATCATGGGATAGTAACACTACGACACTGCTCAACACTTCATTTTATCAACTCTGTTGCTAATTAGTTGTGTGCTTCGTACAGCAGCAAATGACAACATATAAGCGATTCAGTGGTATCATTCCACAACGTACTTTAGTCTTGTTTCGGTTTGGAGCAGGTCTAATGCACCCTAGAGTTACCCAATATGTTCACGAAAAACATGCTAATTGCTTGACATTGACAAAGGAAGGTCGATACCATTTGTAACACATTATAATTCTCACCCAAAAGGTGTGTGGTGGTGCGTTTATAACTTTTAACATAGCTTTAACAATTTTTCAGTCATATCGCTACGATTTCTAGTGTGGCAATTTATAATGATGTCTAGCACTGGGGCATCATGCCGCAGACATGTAGCATGATGTTCCACCCAGTCACATTATCCTGACACCAGGCCGACCAGTCCTAACACTAACCTCTTAATGCTGAGCGTCAAGCGAGGCAGCTGTTAGTATGTACCATTTTTGTAGGTCTTTGGTATGACTCGACCTGGAACCGAACCCACGACTTCCCGCATTCGGGGCGGACGCTATAACTACTAGGCCACCATTACATACGTTGATCGCATTGATCGCTTTCGCATTGCTGTTATGTATGCATTACAGTCGCTTTTGCTGATTAATGTCTTATCTTTTCTGCCAGATGGATCACGGCACCTCCTTGATCTCCCTTCTCCAGCACCTTTTTCTCTTGGCTCTGTTGTTTATTTTGTTGCAAATATTTTAAATTCCTCTCCCCTATTTTAAAAGCCACAGCATCATGTCATGCTTTCATTTTAATCTACATATTACGTATACGGCTTTAAACATTCAATCGTTGTGTTGTTGTTTTGTGAGTCTTTATCTCAGCTTTTCAATACGGACGAAAACATTATATTTTCTGTTTCCGTATTGACATTTTATTGCAATGAATTTGAAATAGATTTCCTTCATGATATCAGACAGGGTCATATAGTGTGTCTTTTGAAATAATAAATCCGATTAATGCAGTTCCACTTTTAATCCCCGTGTACTTATGTGGAATTTTCGTCCCACACTTCAAGGACCGTGGATGAGTATTAAAGCAAACAATTCAATTCAGAATCTAAATGTAATATCGCTTTGTGAAACACTTCGCATAAGCTGTTTATTTTCCTGGGTTATTTGGTGCTTGACACTAATGCAAAGTAACTTATAATCAATTATTTGAAATCATTTCATATAGTAATACAGTCGAGCTAATTTAGCATTGGTACGAAAAAATATATTCAATGTAATTAATTATATGGAAGCGAATTATCATTATAGAAAGAAACCCGCGCTTTCCGTAGGATATGAATATTTGGGCAATTAAGATAATGTCGCTACTTAATTAATAAATAAATAAATACCAAGGAGTATTAACTATTTTCCTGTATCGAATAATTCAAGTCTCATTGTTTCTATATTCATACCATGCTTCAAGAATTCATTAAGAGTACGATTGTGTTTTTTCGAACAAATTAAATCAGCATTATTTGGCTGGTCTGGGACACAACTTTCAATTATCTTGCATCGCCAATGTGACCATTCGCAATCCGAGGGCATTACCAAATGTTGCAGTTCATTAATATGACATTCTATCATGCAAACATTGTACGTATATAGAATACTGTTTAGTATGTGCAGAGGTTCATTTGATTCTTTGAATCTCATTCAAGTTTGCTTAGTAGATGCTTGGGTCAGACAGGTCGTTTTATGATGAATTATATTTGTCATTCACGTTTGCAATAGATCCAGGGGGATTTTTCATAGTCTCTTGACAAATATGTGTTACAAAAATTAATGGTCTGCAACAGGCGATGGCATGAACCATATTTCAGAACTTAGAGCGCTGTTTAAACCACAGTGTTTTCGATATCAGATATGGAGTAAGCGGGTCAAGATGCTTTATAGTTTCTTCAGAATTTGATCGGTCCAAGTCAACCACAGATTCTGATATTCTGCCTTCATATGCCTTCACACGTGACACCTAGTATTGCTATTGCAGATTTCTCTTTTTAAATTCCAAGAGGAAAGTTTTTCATGAGCTCTCAGGGTCTTACCTTTAAAATATGAAACTCATATGATACGCTAAGAAGTTGCGGATTGGTGAATAAGAAAAAAAAATTATACTAGGGGATGATAGTTTGTACCACCTACCTATGTTATACTGAGATTTTGTTGAAATCTTGAACTAAATTTAAAAGGCATTTCATAATACTCTTCCGTGTTTATATTATTGAAAATATAAAGTGAATATCAAACAATACATCTACTCTCAGACGTCTGTGATTGTTGTAACGGGTAATAGCGTCCTTCACTATTCAAATTATATAAATATTTACTTTGTATATGTCAAGGAATTTTACAACCTTGCATAGAAACGCTTGTAGTATGATTATAACTACAGGAAAGTGTACGTTTGCATGCGTGATAAGTACAATGTACGTTTGCATGCGTGATAAGTAAAATGTACGTTTGCATGCGTGATAAGTAAAATGTACGTTTGCATGCGTGATAAGTACAATGTACGTTTGCATGCGTGATAAGTAAAATGAACGTTTGCATGCGTGATAAGTAAAATGAACGTTTGCATGCGTGATAAGTAAAATGAACGTTTGCATGCGTGATAAGTAAAATGAACGTTTGCATGCGTGATAAGTAAACTGTAAATTTGCATGCGTGATAAGGATCCATTTATTCCCTGATTTATGTGATTTTTATGTCGCCACATACATTTATATGTTCGGGTAATAGTTTTATATTTTAATATTTAAAACAATATACAATATATATCTCATAATATGTCCTTATAGCAACAAGCAACACTGATCCTAACCAGAGGCTATTTAATGTGCTGGCAGATCAGGATCTATCCTATTTCTTCCACTAAATAAACCTAAGAATCTGCATAAACCCGAATTCGCTGACACATTATACAATGAAAAATCTGAGTCCAAGATATTTGCATGAGAACCGACTTATAAGGAAGTTCAGACGGTATATTGGCATTGTTTTCCAACAGATGCCTAACACATTAGTTAGTTCAATATGCTTGCCAATACTTGAATATGTAGTACTAATTAAAAGCGTGTTTAAAGTCTCTTAAATTTATGTTGGCGTCTAATAAAGTAACTATCAAGTGAGTACGCTTTGTCTTCTTGCAACACTGATATGAACTTCTTGTTAATCAATAGTACCCTTAGAGAAATAATTTTATTGTGATCCAAGATAAATTCAATGTTAAGAAATTGATAACCTATTTTCAATATACTACATATTGCCTTAATCTACAGGAGACAAATTTATTTCAAGACAGACAAACGTTATTATGCAAATAGCTCAGAAGCTTTTAACTGTCATATGTTTGATTTTTAGATAGGTACATATTGAAACTCTGTTTAATTTACTGGTGTAAAATAAACACAGGCACGCACGTACACACATTGCTCATTTCTCCTGGCATGGTCTAGAAACCAAAACATTCATGTCTCCAAAAAGTTGTTATTGACGGAACGAAAGCAGGAAACCAGTTGCAATTTGTCCTGCATTATGAATTTACCTGCATTTGACAGTAATCTCACAATCACGTACAGTTTGAACCTTATACATTTTCATAGAAATTGGCAATCTGTACTATCTTTAGAACGTATCAAGTCCAACCCATTACATCCCGTCTTTGTTTCAGAATATATAAGTTCACGTTTTTATTTAATTGGAATCTTTACTTAAATATCGAATTGGCTTAGAATGCCATCAAGCAAGAGAAATTCGTGACAGCGCTCGCAAGTTTAATTTTAATGCAGTTGTGCGCTTAGAAAGAGTAAAAAAAACCAGCGCCTCACTGGATTCTAATGCACCACGCGCCGCATGATAATGCACTGTAATATTTGCCGTCTTAGTATTCGTATTTAAAAAAAACAACCCATTGAGTAAACAATTTCATCCTTTATTCTAAATATAGCCGATGTTATTGTTTTTGCGTTTTAATAATGCAAGTTGAAAATGACAATGTATTTAGATGAAGATGTATTTCTTTAACAATATCGTAACCAAATTTGGCATCACAAGACAGTTTGGAAATGTTAAATCATGATATTCCTAGGCCTGTCAGGGACGTAAAAGTACGATTTGAACCAGTCTAGACACAGCTTGCAGGGACGTAAAAGCACGATTTGAACCAGTCTAGACACAGCTTGCAGGGACGTAAAAGCACGATTTGAACCAGTCTAGACACAGCTTGCAGGGACGTAAAAGTACGATTTGAACCAGTCTAGACACAGCTTGCAGGGACGTAAAAGCACGATTTGAACCAGTCTAGACACAGCTTACAGGGACGTAAAAGCACGATTTGAACCAGTCTAGACACAGCTTGCAGGGACGTAAAAGCACGATTTGAACGAATCTAGACACAGCTTGCAGGGACGTAAAAGCACGATTTGAACCAATCTAGACACAGCTTGCAGGGACGTAAAAGCACGATTTGAACCAATCTAGACACAGCTTGCAGGGACGTAAAAGCACGATTTGAACCAATCTAGACACAGCTTGTAGGGACGTACAAGCACGATTTGAACCAATCTAGACACAGCTTACAGGGACGTGAAAGCGCGATTTGAACCAATCTAGACACAGCTTAAAAAGACTTAGGTTGATGGTCTTTATCATGAACAGTTCAGACGAGAGCCTCGTTTATAGAAAACACGGATACTTAGAGTCACTAAATATATATGAAAACTGCATTAGTGATATGCAGCTGATGAAATTGTATTGATTATTGATATAATAGTTTCTATTTTCCCTAAGTGCTACTTTACCAAAACAATTTCTCATATAACTGCTGAAGATA